GGCGAGCGTTTCATCACGCTGAGCCGAGGTCGACCCTTCGCACAGAATAGCACGTGCAACTTCGTAATGAGTTGCAATAAGAATTAACCGTGCATAGAGCTGCAGACGATTGGATCTCATTACAACTCATTACTGTACACGAGACGAACAACCGGTATCATCAAGATACGTATTATTATTCAATTCGTCTCAATGCATATTCCATGCATTCTTATTGATTAATCCTCAAATATAACTTGGAGCAAAATTCTCTTGTTGATATAACTCGTTTTAGTTCCAACTGCACATAAATTTGAATCACAAACAAAAGCGTAAAGCGAAGCAACAGCAAAGATGGCGCAACCGCAAAGTTCAGAGAAACGGAATTTCGACGATTACGAGTCCTAAGAGTCCTAAGAGTTTTAGCGACTACTTAATAGAGGGTGGGCGGAAGAGATCGTGTATATACGAGCCGACTGGTTGTGGCGGTTACGTAGAGTCGTCCTAAATCGATAGAGCCAGACGCGAGAGCACAGCCGGCTGGGACAGCACAGCCGTGCGTTGTATGTGTGTAAACTTAGACTCTGGTTTCCACGTGTCCACTCCTTTATCCACGTGTCCACGTCGGGCTTCATGTGAACCTTCTTTTCTGTGCACTGCTTTTTGTTTTACTCTCATTCACGCTCATTCTTTTACCTTATTATTTTGTCAAAGCTAATTTATTCATTTTACTGTTTTATCTCTGTTGACAATTAGATATTTATAAGCGTATTTATAAGCAATTTCAGACGAAACTTTCTTATCAGAAGCAAATAATCATAATTGTATTGTGTTGCTAAAAATTTGCTTGATAAATAATCGTTAATTAATAAATCAATTAAAATGCTATAAATTTTTTTTAACTATATGTCTAATCCAATTTACTATAAAATTGAATAACAAATAATTGATACATATTTATGAAGTCTATAAGTGAAATATATACATAAATATCTCTTCGAAAAATATCTAATCAGCATCAAAATATCGATGTAATATAATTAAACACAGCGATTGCAGCTTTACTTGGAATTCTGGACGATGAAAATTATTCGAGGATGCAAATACATATTTACAGAAACTACGTCGTTTATATCAAAGCCGAGCGCGTAATGACTCTATATGAGACACAAACGCGCATATATATATATATAATATATGTAACCTTACAACTCGGTCAAATACATCCGCTCCGGAAATGGGTGTACAGCTATCTCTTTAAACTCGGCTCTTTCTCTAATTTAAACACACGATAGCGTGCGCGCGATCGAACTACAACGCCGCATGCCGCCGTGACGTAAGCGAGTTCCTCATTTAAATACGTATTACTAACTTTGGCCATCTCTCTATACCTGTTTCCATCACCAGATATCATTGTTCCATACATTGCTCTGATACAATATGGCGACCGTGACAAACTATGTGGATATACGCGGATATTACCCGTTCCGATACGTAACGTGAGCGCGCAACGGTTGATAAAGTTTCCTATGCGCGTTCCAGTAAATCCTGCATAATCTAATACGCGAATTTGTTCGACAGCCGCAATACATGCGTGACGGATGGATCCACAATTCCGACAGGTTTGGATATTTCAGCATAATTTATTGAAATGGGGAAGTGTCCGTACACGCGTACACATAAGCCTATCCAATTTCCTTGATAATGAAAACCTACAAGGTTCAATATTCAGATATATATTGAAAAAAAGACATCTGGAAAGTATGAAATATGTTGATTATATATTTGTTTACTTTTATCTTTGAAAAGATTTCTTTCTAATTTATAATTCCACATTTCCTTTAATTTTCCTTTAAAAGTGCTAAGACTGAAATACTTGAATCGATTTTTTTTTTCAAATTGCTACTATTGCTACTCTTCGATTTATGTCTATTTTTGCCCGCGATGCAGAGTTAGAACTATGTTGCAAGATGTTCAATCTTACTTAAATTAATTATCCCATTTCCCGTCATCTATGCATAGTTATAATTAATTACAGTTCTGCGAAAGATAAAATGTCAGACTGATTAAATAAATACTCTTTTCGCGAAGTAATCACAGATAACATCACAGTGTAATTCGCGACTAAAACACTAAATGTGGAAACTGTTTTGCTGTGTCACGCCAAATGCTGCATCAGCTATTTACGAAGTCGTAGTTTACCGTCGGTACATCAAAGCAACGTCGAGAATAGGCGAAAACGGTGAACGAGTTTGGTCTTTGAACACGATGCCCGAGGAAATCATTGCACAAGCAATGATAAAATTAGAAATTCCTCTATTTGCCTATATTTCGATGGAACAAAAAAACTTCCAATATTGTCTTACGTTCTTGCAAAGGTTTCTTAATTTTTTAAAAACATCTGTTGCAAATTTGCTATTATTTCCTGGCAATCTTACCCATTTAATGTTCATTACTTTTCATAGCAAATTTCTAAGTTTGAAAAATATTTGCTCAGTATTTATGGCTTCAGCTTTGCAGTAACATCGCAAAAAATTATTAGATGAACATTTTTTAATCAATTTTTAATTAAAAAAAGCTCTACAGTAACTACACATGACTACGACAATGTTTGTAGTTTAACTTTTCTATAATAGTGTTCCCTAGTGTTCCCTCGCAAAGTTGTCTTTATATTGTATGTTTCTTGTAGCAGTAATAAGCGAAACGAGAATACTCTTTCGTCTCTGCGAGTTAGAGCAACTGCCATCCTTCGAGTACGGTTCAGAGAACAAGGTAGTACTGTTTGCCTGTCCAATATTTTCCAGGGAAAAATAACTTGTCTAATGGGAATGCGAAGAAAAGAATTCTTATTAAATTTAAACGGAAAATTTAGATCAACTGTATCATTTTCATCTCGTGCTCCACAAAAAGTACTATTACAGTATAAACGTCACAATGCAAATAGAAGAACAGAGATATTGCTGAAATATAAATTAGTAGTACACATATTATGTTTATTTAATCTACATTAAATGCTAATTAAAAGTCAATATTATTTCTTGGTTGAAGGTAGAAGAGTAAATATCATAAATATCATAGGCATTAAACGTCCTCGAAACGTTATTTAATATAATATTAAAGTAGCCAACTTTTCTTTGAAGTCAAAAATGAAGAAATTAACAACTGCGTGAAAATGTAGACTTAGAAAAGTTAACATGACTGTGGCTTAAGGGTAAATGTACGAATTATGCTCATTAAGTCCGTCATTACGTCAGGTATTTCGCTCTGCTTCAAGCCACAGAATCATGCGGCTTGTGGTGGTTGAACGCTGCACAACTATACTCTAATACACTAGGTAAACGTAACAAGCGCAAAATTAAACGCCCACATAGTTGTAGTCCAGCCCTAAATACGCAGTTAGCCCTTCATAGTTTCATTATTCAACATTTAGCTAATTTATATCTTGCTACGTCTTTTGCAAAATAACTAAGTTATGTCTATGACACATTTTATCAATGTATTATATTATATGTACAATTGCGGTGGTCGCGGTACATTAATTATTATAAACACGTTTATCTGATTACAATTGTAACATTAATTGATAATCATGTACGCTGCTATTGTTCATCTTATGTAAAAATTTAATTAACGTTTAAACAAAATCTATTGAGATCGCGGTTCGATGCAGATGGAATGTAATTAACCTCTTTGCTAATAACGCATTACATTATTTACGATATTGTATTGAATGAGTGATATATCCGATACGTTATTATTCAATTAATAACTTGCAATAATTGCGATTTTTGCACATGTGCTGTTGGCGTCAGTAAATATTAATTCAGAGATAATAATCAAGCGAGGCAGGAGTATCGCAATCTCGCGTTACGAACATGGTATGATATAGGATTGCGCATCCAGCTAAACCGGAGCAGGAGCGCTCTGGAATTGCCGGAATACAATTGCGTCGTGTTGTGCTTCTCACTGTATTCGAGAGGATCGTGTAACGCGTAGAGATACCGACCCTCAGGTGCCCCGATACGTTACGCAATACATGTGGACGAAATAGTCGATTTGACCTGACAATCGTGCTGCTGGCAGCATACACATACAACAGCTGTGCCGCAAATCTTATCTCAATTAAAATATCGGAACGCGGGATAAAGATCAGAAAATTAATCTGTCAATCCGAATGGAAGAGTGAAAATGATTAAATCGTAATTTTTTGCCTTTTCTATACAGATCTCGTTTAATAAAGAATCAATGTGCAATTAACGTTTAATTAAAGAAAATGAGAAATAATTACGAATAACGTCGTAATTTTCGCGAAGCGGCAAACGCAGCCTCGCCTTTTTCATTGAAAATTCACGGAGCTTGCAGAACGCGGCAACATCCGTTCTATTGCCGCATTATGCCGGCGTGGAAAAAGCAGAAAAATAGCTGACTTCTCGTATTAAGAGAACTTCCCTGCCCTACGTACGACCGATATATCAGACGCAAACACGCAACAACGTTTTTATTTTGCTGGCACGTGGACCATTTCCTTTTGAAAACACTTGGGATGATATTATCCGCCATAATCAACTCTTTATCCTTCGCGAAAGGTCATGCAGACATGTAGCTCTCCAGCTCTTCTGAAGCTGGTGACATTTCGCTGAAATATGTATACGGAAACTCTCCGAATTACCGCATTGAATCCGCTATCCTCTTTATCAAATCCTATCAATTCGCAGCAAATTAGTGCTTGAATTTGAAAATTGGAATTGTTGGAAATTGTGGAAATGTTCTGAGGATATAACGCGATGACGTTCACAATCGTATATACATGCACAGTGCACAACAGTTTGCTATGAATTACATTATGTAAATATAATTACAAACCGTTCAATTAGCATACTTTGTTTTGCATATGCATTTTATGATATATTTAACAACGCTTAAATAATCTGTTTTGTTTTCCGCGTTTCAAATCCCGTTAATTCCCGTTAAAAATCAACATTTATCGCAACTTTAACACGCTTCTAATTTGTTTTTTTCAGAAACGAGCCGTTTCCTTCCGAAGACTACCGCGCACACATCCTAAAGTTTCAGAACGTACTCGGCACAAAGAGTTAAAAAAGCTAATTTCGCCGAGCGATGATTTTCTTCGCTCTCGGAGAGTCGAGAATTTGAAGCAAGAATCGATCGACGGCGGAATCTCTGAGAAGGATCGTTCGATTTATTAGTTTGAGAAAGAGACATTAATTATGATCCGTGTCGAGATCGCGCGTGTGTTCGTGATATATCCACGAGTGTTTGCGGGTCGGCCAGTAAGATAATTAAGTCATCAGATCGAGATTAAGTGCAAAGAAATCTTTTCGCCTGACGAGGCGAAAAAGAATAAAACTTGAGCAACCAGTGTCAACTAATCCTGTTAATGAGCATTTGACGAGCGACGCATGAGGGAACAACGTGCAGAAGAGAGAACTATCGAGATGAAGCTAGGAGATAACATGACCATGGAAGGTAAGTGAGCTCTGGCTTGATGATAAAAGAATAATTACAAGATTAGTAACATCTGATACTGATCGCTTCATCGGCGTGTCTAACGAAGTGTCGTACACTGTCAAAATAGCATGCGTTAGCTTGGCATTTTTCTTCGTGTGATACGATGACTAGTTATCTCTACCTCACTGCGTGTAATGTCAGATTAAGGGAACAGATTAAGAACTTTTCTGCTAACTATAATTTTCACGAAGGCAACAGAGCTTCTATAATTTTCGACGAATACTATAATTAATCAGAAAAAAAAAACAAGATTGACTCGATTTCTCGTATGTAAATGAACATTCTAAAAATAAACCTCGTTCTCGAATAACTCGCGTCGCGTGTTATAAACTCTCATACTTAAACATCGTTAAAGATCAATGTTGAGTCAACCTTGAAAGTGGCTAAGGAATATGTCTTCAAAAAAGAAAAAAAAGAAGAGAAAGGAGTGAAGAATAAAAGTATAGACTTGTTAACCTGTCACTCTCCTATCTGAGGCTCGTATTCCTTTTTGTGATTTGCCAAGACGGCGTGATGTTCGTCGAAGCGTGCTTTAACTCTTCGACGGAGCATCAACCGTACTTTCCCAAACCTTGATCCAAAGCCAAAGTAGACAAGATTTGTTAGACACGTCGATGCAGAGGACAGCTAGTGATAAACACAAAAACCCGTAGTGATGGCATCAACATTAATTTGCTATAATGCATGATATTAAAAATGGGTGATGGAAATTCGCACGCAGCATACGCATTTTATATCCGCAAACTTATGGCTTACGCTTTCCACGAGTTTCAACTTCATTATCGTGCTATAGCGTACATTAAAAGGTCGTTAGTTATGTAGCATCGGATAATTTTGCGGTACTTTTTACGCTGCCACGATTTTTCCAATAAACCTTTCTATACCATTTTTCCAATAACCTTTCTAGCACACGTAAATATTAAATGCGTCGCATTGAACTTCGAGGTGCGAATTAGATTTAAATTTAAAAAAAATACTAATTTCAAGCTATCTCGAGTAAAATCAGAAAAATTAAATTGAAGATGTAGAGCATTTTAATAATTATTGCATAAAACGACTTGCGTTCAATCTTGAATGCCATGAGAACAACATTAATTTCGACCGATACTGAAACTTCGTCGCCACGATCAGGAATCTCTCTACTATTAATTACGAAAGTTTACTTTTTTTGTTGGAACGGCTATAAAATGGCTGTGGGCGGCTGACGGTGAGTTTACGTCAGTAATTTCATGTTCAGTAAATTTCTCCTTCATATCGCAGCTTGCATTTTCTATGAATTCATCAGCTTTGTTACATTGTACGCATTAAAGAAATTACAATTGCACAAATCTTTATTTTTTTCAACAGTCTGTATTTATGAAATATATCGTATTTTGCGAATGACAATATTGGTATAACTGATAAAAATATTGAAATCCTTGTGTCGAGATATTTCAATATATTTTGAGTAAAAGTTGAAAAAGATAGAATGTTGTCTCGTCATTCGTGTATCAGATATTTTTAAACTTCAAATAAATTTTACAAGTTACCAAAAATAAATAAAAAATGTCATTTAACTACTGACTTGAAAATTACATGTAGGCGTTCTCTGGAGAACATAATTACTGTGCTCTGTATAGCTGCGTATTTTCCGCTGTATTCGAGATATTGCAAAAATGTCAGACAAGAATAACTATGTTCTTCCAGGAATTTGAATAACTCGGTTAGGTCAAGACTAACCGCATCACTTTACAGTAATTTTAATTCCACTGGCCCGTTGCTCTCGTCCGTCGGGAGTCGCGAAATTTCGTTACTACGTGGCCGGGCGATAATTAATTGCTAGCCGGTAGGACTCAAGTAATTTCGTTTCATCGATGCGACACGAAAGCAATGTCTATTCGTTAGCGAAGTTTGCTGCAACGCCGATAAATCAAAGACAATATAATAGTCGAATTATTACGAATTAGACAACATTAAATTTAATTACTTGAATGGCGCGATGCACAGAGAACAAACGAGAAATAATATTCTCGCGATATTTCATGACGTCATATTATAGCATTGTATAACATTGTATCATATCTTGCATTTGTGATATTAGTTTATATAATTATAATATATATAATAACTATTATACAATTTACCAATTATAATATCACAAATAAAAAGCAAAAAAGTTTCAAAGGTTTGCAAGATTTTTAAAATACACGTATTATACTCCTATGATTTTATTTTCTTTAATTCTTTATTCAAAACATTACACAACGCTCTTAAAATGTCATGAATTGATGGGCGTTTTATTCGGTTAACAACTTTCATATTCAAAATACTTGTTTCCGATAGTTGCTGCCACGTGTTGAGAGACTTCATTATTGTGTATATTGATTGATAATTAGATGGTAATTAATTGCTAACATGAAGATGAAGGTTTGACGGCTCTCATTTTATATCGATATATCGATACAAGATAATGAAAGTATTACTTCCAGATTATTGGCCACTGAGATAATTAATTTTCCTACAAAATCGGATGAATGTAAATATCTATGCATTTTATTTTTATTCGCCCAAAAAAAAAAAAAAAAAAACAAAACGAAAACGTTACAATAATGCATCGTATCACCGTTGTGGAAATTTCTTTTTGCAGATGACATTTTACATAAAATTAAATTTAGGTTTTTTAAACCAAATTTGTTTTACATAATATAATACTTTTGATGGTTAAAAATACTGTGTAAAAAGAAGATAAATGTATTTTCACAATTTAAAAAAAAAAAACAAGATATATTGCAGAATTTATAAATTTTTATAAGTTTGTAGTATTATAAAAAGACAAAAGGCTCGATCGTAAAATTTTTAATGCTATTAGTGCACGGTTATCTAAATATTCAGCTCAAAAAGAAGGCTTTTGTTTCTAACTATCTGCTTTCATTCAAGCCGTACGGTAAGCGAATCCTTTCATTTTCCCTTGCTTTTAGTAATCTCTAACGTTCTCTTTGCAGCCATTGTCACACTGCCTTTATCTTCAGCTTTTCTTACACTCTAATAATTAATTAGATAAATAATGTATTAAAATAAATTAATTATAAATGAGTAAAACAACGAAGTATATATACTTTAAAGTATAGGAATCTACTGCATTTTTTAATCCCGCAGAATCTAGCAGTACTTGATTTTGTAATTTTAATATTTTTTATATTATTCTCAAAGTCAATGTTCTACTGACACAGCTTTCCTTTATAAATGTTATTAATAATAATAAAGTTAGTTAAATAGCTATGAAATTTCAATAATAACAATGCGAACCGAGAGAAATTTAACGAATAATAATTTTAAAACATAAGAGCAAAATCTACATGTTTGTTGTATAATAAAAAAAAGCAGCTTACCTCGCGCAAAAAGATCTGCAAAATGGTTGAAAATTTTAACGAACGAGGAGAAAGAAGGAAGTAGTTAAGTGAGGAAGTCTGGATTAGAATGCAAAAACGGGAGGAGATGACGACGTGAATTTTGCATTCAAGTATCCGGCATTTAATTTGTAGATGCACGAGGAGTTAATTGTTATTGTCAAGTGACCGACGACCACCGACCGCGCGTTCGTATTATCTCGGCCATATCCTTCTTTCTGGTTATAATCAATTGCCGTTAACTGCTTGGCGCGCCAGTAAAACTGTTCCGGTAACACCCGATATTGATCGAGAGAGTCGAGGGAACGAAGCGTCGTCGTCGCCACCATAATCGCCGAGTCTCAGCAAGAATTGTGCTTTCTCCGCTCGATCTAGATAGTGAGAGTCAATTTCAACTATTATCATCATAAATAAAGACAAGACCTTTTTATCAGCAATAAACTAATAATGGTTAGAATGCGCGGGGAGAGTGCGAGCAATTATTTTTACAATTAATTTTGATTTTCAAATAATGAAACAAGTAGCATAAGTATATTCAAAGTTTAAGATGCTGCTTAATCCGCAAGATAAGCGTATTATAGATACAAAATGTAAATTTAAAATCCCCCCAAAAAAAAAAACAAAAAACCAGAGAAAGCGCAATAAAATAGACAATTGACATTAAGTGAACGAATCTCATGGCGTGAGGATTTCAACTGTGCAAAATGACAACGTATGTAGCACGAAAATAAAAAGAAGGCGGCCACGATAGACGGGACGAGTTTAATCGACTTAGATCCGCCTTTTCATTCGGCGCTTGGCGTGAAATCGAGCCGTGAGAGGATCGATAAGGGTCGGGCGGAGAGAGAGCAATCTAGACGGATGAAAGCGAGCGGACTGCGGCAAGTGATGCATTGGAACGATGATGAAATAAAGGCAAAGCGGGCACTAAAGCGAAAGGATCGACAAATTGGCGTACTATTTGCGTCTTGTTTATGTGTTTACCTATTACGTCCGAGAAATAATTCGCCGGTCAGTATTGCGGTGAAGTTAATTAACCGCGAAAATGTCAATCCACTTAGTCTTGCGGGTTTTGTTTTTCCTATGACTCGAATTATAAATATCACTACAGACAGATGTATTAAAATGTACGCTTTCAATAATAATTATCAATAACATCAACGAACAATTTCTCAATTTTGCAATGCAAAAAATATTATTTTCTTTTACAAAAAAATTAATTTTTATCGAAAAGATATAGAAAAAGATAATAATAAAATTCTCCCACAAATAAAAGATAATGAAATTTATCTGGGAGAAAAGTTCTTCATTATGCAATATTAACATTGTAAATGGTATCAAGTGAGAATTCAAAGCGACTCTCCAAAGAAAATGTATACTTGACGACTCTTCTTACACATATATCAATCACATCGTTGCGATTTTATTTGTAAAAAAAAAATTTTTTTAATTACAACGCGAAAGAATGACACTCAGAAAACAGTGATGCAAGCTGCAATGGCGAAAAAAACGACAAAGGTTGGACGAAAGTGCAATGTGTTTGGCGTTTACGTTAGACGTTTCACGGGATTGCATTTTATGCGCCGCAATTGCATCGTCCTCAGAGATCTTCCTAAGTGTAATGAGACCTTGAGACTTCGTCTCAAGAAAAAGTAGGAGAGCGCGAGCGAGGGTATCGGACGGCGAACTGCCAGTTTTTAACTAGAAATGCAAATGCGGACGATCAGCGCGTGGCATGCGGTTCTCTCGATCGCGTGCACTCATTGATAAAATTTATGACGAAAGTACGTATGTTTTCCTTATCAATCGCCACTTTTTGTATTGAGATTCTGATGATAAAAATATTCTTATAAAAATTCCAATCAAATAGCCGCGCAAAATTACTTTCTTTTGTAAGAAGCTATAATTATGTAATAAAAATCTAAACAAGTATATTTGTTAGCTAATTGTAAAACTTAAAAAAGTATACTTGTATTGCAATAGTTGCCAAGTTGAGAAATTGATCTTAAATATCGCAGAGTCATACCTAGTTTCTAATTACATAGATCTACTGTATCAAAAGGGTATGAGCAGTTTCAAATAGTTTCTTGATTCAAAATTGTTCTTTGGTAAATTGCCCGGAAATTGAAAAATCGATTGCTTTTCTTCTACAGCACAGTTTGTGTACATATTGACAATTTGTAATTCTGAAATCACACAGAATTCCTTCTCGAAATCATCTTTTTAAAAATCATAAAACATTAGCAAAAGCCATTCTTTTTTTATGTTTTGAGAGTATTTCAAATCTGTCCGACTTCGAGAGCACTTAATGAAATTCCTGAGTGATGCGGAAGAAAAAAGAGCAAACTAGAATGCTCTTCGGTCTCGGCTACCGCGTACTTGCGGTAAGATTAAATCTTCCTGTGTATATTCCTATAAGGTCCGCCTAACTTTTATAAGTCAACTCAGAGATAAAACTATTAAAGTGTATATTCTAGATGCTGTCAGACGAAGTATTACACAGTGAATGTTTTATTAGTGCAGCGGAGTTTCGAACTCTCTCACTTCAAATCCAGCGACTTTCGAGAAAGATGTTGCAAATTCCGTACAAAGAAACGGAACTTAGCTTCTTTCGAGAGTAATGGAATTGACACGAGTATTACATCACAATCTCAAAAATGTAAATTATATTTAATTTACATGAAGTTAACGCAAAAATACACAGTTTATAATCTATTTTATCAAAAGGATTTTAGCATTCTCCATATAACAAAAAAATGTTTCTGAATGTGCTGAAAAAATCGACGATAAAAAAATGAAATTAATTAAAATCGATTGTTTATTTATTCATGAATATTTGATGCGATAGAAATAATTAGCTGTATCATTTTACATTTCTGTAACATCTGTGTGTAGCGATAATGCGTCAAACTAGTAGTGCATTCAATGTCGTCTATTTTAACTCGCTGCACGTTCGAGTAAAATCGTTCTACACAGAGAAGATGGCAATATCAAATCATCATCGACGTCATTGTATGTGTTTGTCATTGGATTTGAAGAGAGGGGGAGGGAGAGAATGAAAGGGAGGGAGAAACGGAGAGAGAAGCACAGCTTCGTTTGCAATCGACAGCGAGACCATTAATCAGCGCAAACTTGATTAAGAGTCGTGATACGCCGACCTCCGCCCTCCTATTCTCTCCTTTTCTCTCTTTCGCGAATCTCTTGACCAAGGAATTTTAGGATTTAATTTAATCTGATTTACTTTCGCTACATCGTACTCCACTTCACGGCAATGTAATTGAAATCTTATTTAGAATATTCACAGATTATTAATAATATTTAATTAGAACTGTAAAATGCGCGCACATGACACGAGCTTTAGATAACGTGAGCTGTGGAAAATAACTACTTGCCACAAACGCTATCAAAATGACGCTACGCGAGGAGCATAATAAATACTTCGTCAAAACAGCAACAAGAAAAAATATAGATACTGATTTAAAAGGTCGAATAAAAATCTATTTTTTATTCTCGCAAGAATCCGTCGCAGTGTGAGACTAAAGCACTAGTACTTCGTGACAATAACGTTATTTCCGCATTTTATGAAAAGAGAAATCTCTGAAAGAGCTTTTCATTTTGTTTACGATTTTTTTTCTACACTTTGTACGCCACAGTTTGTTCCTATTTGTAAAATATAATTAGCAAAGCATAATTATTATTTCTACAATTAAAGCGCTTTAATCAATATCCGCGCGAATTTAAATAGCTATTGTTCTGTCATTTCTGAATGAATTATTTATTATTTTCTAAGGATAAATTATTTATTATCTTTACGCTCTCGATAAATAAATTATCGTTATTCATATTCACGCCCTACGGCATGCTGACATATTCAGGACAAGCTTGAATACAAAATAAACTTATAGCTGCATAGTGCAAGCATAAGATGTCCTTCAAGGTGTCACCTTAAATCGCCTTTCCCTAAATTAATCCTAAAACATGTCAGGTTTATTTATTTACTTCGGCGATCTCGAGAGGAAATTTTATAGTGGCGTATGTAGCGTAAAACGAGCATAAAACTTACAGTTTCCTCCAGTTATAAATTTCAAATTTACTTCCTCAGTTTTATCAAGTTTAAACATAATCGCGCATTCTTGCTTTATGCCATCACTACGTGTTATAAATTATTTCTACAAAATAATAAAAAGGATATTCACAGTAAATTTGACGTCAACATCCTCTCATTAATCATTGAGTATTGCAAATATATGCGTATATTTATTCTCTCTAATTTTGATTAAATATTTATTTAATATATATTCTTTCCCTCTCTCTCTCTCTTTCTCTCTCTCTCTCTCTCTCTCTCATGTGAATCAATTTAACGATGCAATTTTTGAAGATAAATTCACTTGTGCAATTGGAAATAAATGCAGGATGTTTTTCGATACAAATTAAAAAAACACGTTACGTTAAAAAATAATGAATTATGTAAATAAGAAAGTAATTCCAATATTTTAATAAAATGGCATCTACGTATTTAAACGAGAAACGGCGACACCACAAGATTAAATCGGTGGGTTGCATACTCAATTACGTCTACATAATCGATATTACGTCACGACTCTATAAAAGAGGACTTTATAATTAGCAAATATCGTTCGTGTATCAGGATGAACCTTTAATATCCGCTACACCACGGTATTCTTAGGACATCGATTAAACTCACTTTGCTTTTTCTCCGATTCTTTCACACCTACTTATCTGTTCGAGAAAAACTTTACCAACGACAACATTTTTTATTTCGTGAGCCATTTAAAAAAATTTGTGACCTACAAACTTTCTATTTATATTTTATAAATAACACAAATAATATTTAAATAACAGCAATATATCTGTTATTGACAATAGTAATAAATTTACTACTAATATTCACCAAAAAATAAATTCAGAGAAAAATACGAAAGCCTTCAAAAAAATTTCGCCTGAAAAAAATTTGTTACAATAAATTTCATCAATCCCACACATATGCAAACAGAAAAAAAATAATGTTTCCTTTTATACTGCTAATCAATTTGATCCTTTTTACAACTATCACTTATTCTCTTAACTCACTTAGCCGATACATTTGCTGATAGATCAAGCAAATAAATCCCCATCATGTTATGTGCATTTCATGGATGTGCATTACTCATCCCGCGGCATTACAATCTCGCAAAAGCACACACTCAATAATCGAGCCAACGATCTCCGTATCATTGAGATGAAACCGTAAACCGGACATATGACATGATAAGCTCAGCAATCGACGATAAACTCAATTTCGCCGGCATTATCCGTTCTATATTATAGATTGTCGAGACGTAAGCTTTATATAACTGGCATGTTAAGAATGACGTATATTTAAGCCGTAAAAAATAAATTTTTCGAGAAAAATAAACGGGAAACTTAAGCTTTTTTATTTGACAAAGAGAATCATCCTTTAAAGGCTTGGTAAAAGTGTAGCTCTACTTAAAAGCAATCTTATGCAGTCTTATAGAAATTGAGTTACACTTCTACTCTACTTTATTCTCGTTCAAATTATCGAAAACTATCACGATACGTATGGAAATGAGGAAGCGACGTATAAAATGAAACGCAATTGTGCTCGATGCCCGGAAGATGAGTTAGATTAAAGAGGGGAGACGCGGGAAGTTATCCGGCGTACGAGCTCACGGAATTGATTCGCATAATTTCATTGTTGCGGATGGAGAAAAGGCGCGCATTCGCGCGAGGAAACCGGCCGGAAGACCGAAGCTTTCCTCATCCATGCAAATTCCTCGCGAATTGTCTCGATAACGAATGTTCTATTTCTCGCGCAGGATTCACTATTTTGGACAGACAGATTCTGCAATTTATTGTATAACAAAAAAAATTGTTTAAATAAAAAATGTCAAATTACAGTTTGTTTGAAGCTGTAGAGCGATTTATTTCGGCAATGCAATTTGTTTTAAAAAAGATGCAATATTTGGAACATTTTCACGGCATTTTCACTAAAAGGAATTTACTTTAATTGCTAATTAACTTTTACGAATCTCACGTAAATTCAATTATCTCTCTGTTATTTATGAATAACATTAAACGTATAATGTTTGATAAGTCCATTCCTTAAAATTATTGTTTGATATTTCGCGCATGTTTACCCTGCTATTACATTGCTTTCACCCAAATATTTTTTTCAATTTTCCAGCTTGCAACGTATGGGGTGACGTCGCGGCGCGAAAATATCGACCACCGCGAATCGGCGAAATTCCAAGGTAAGTAACTTCATTTCTTAATTGGATACATTTAAGTCATAAAGACTGAACAAGTTTTGAAAGAAGTTTCCAATTTAGCAAGTAATTAATAACATCAAGTAACATTTTGCACTTAAAACTTAAAATTAGTTTTTTTCCACCTATTTTCTACCTTTTTCAGAATGCTCCTCAATATAATTTTGAAGAAATCTATAATTTATAATTTCCAAAATAATTTTAAAACTTTTAATTACCATTACTTAATCTTTCTAGAAATAATTAAAAAAAATTATGTTTAACTACTTTGAAAATTTAATCAGTATAAAGGAATTGCAATAAAATGACTTAATTGTATCATTTAGTCGTCATCGTGACAGCATAAAAACTCACTTGCGTCATGTCTATTTTTATAATTTAGAGCGGCCATAATATCACTATTTATATGCACGATACTGTATGCAACGTTTGCCGTTAATCAAGTCGCTTCTCAACAGCTAACAAAAAAAGCTGCCTTCACAGCAATGTAATACGCAGCATGACAATACATTCGCTTCGGCAAATGCGCGATATAAATGCAGATGTATTTAAGCAAGCATACGTTTATAGACACAAGCATATGATGGATGAAGCACATCATAGTGACAGAAGGAGATGAACTATGCAGTTTCCGCTTTTGTGGAACCATGAACGACGCGCGTCTCCGAATGGTTCTCCAGAAGCAGATGCATGTCGGACAATGGTTTCAATTAATGCTTCATCGATCAATGTTTCAAGGGGCTATTAATCCGTACCTGGCCCAGATTCGGACTCGGTGAATGCATCGAATTTACATTCGGTTCTACAAGATCTTGTTTAAAATATATTTCCAATTAAATTATCGAATACACTGAGTTTGCAAAAGTTTTATAAATCTTGCGACAAGTTTACATATTCTTTCGTTGTATATCAAAGAAATGCTTCAGCAATACTCCTAATATTCTAAATTTTTGCAAGTGAAACAAACGCGCGAAATGTGTTTACTTCCGACGAATAAGCCGCACATTGATTAACCCCGACCTTCGACACCATCGTCCTACACTTAGTTGAAGGGGCGAAAAAGAAAGTTCAAGGAAGGCGCCCTAAACTACCATAATGCATCCCGGCATGCGAATAGATATTTTTAACCGCACAGTCGAAGCAGATCGATATGTACAAAGGCGGCAGAGGTTTGTGTCTAAATAATTGCACCTTTGCCCTCGCAAAAATAGAAACTGCGCCGAATCTTTTGACGTTGTATTCGTGAAGGATTCATTATTTTGTCTCTTTTCGTTAAAAGAGTTTTATATCAATCGATATTTCGCAATTGAGAGAATCCAGACAAACAAATCATGTGGAAATTCGCGAAACCGCGAATATCTGTAATCATGTGGAAAGTCGCAAAAGCAATAAAGTTGAGTAAATAAAAGTTCAAATACAAAACGGTTAACGATCCTGTCAGGAAATGTTCGTTTCCAGAGAGTTAATGATACTGACAAACATCGCAGTATTTACGGGTACAGAAAAAGGGAAAAAATAAACGCGAGGAAATTGCTAGAGCGAGCGAGATATTTTAAACTCCAGTCGAGCGTCGATCGATGGCCAGACCATTACTGCTTAAATTATTGAATCTTGCGAGACTATCCGATACGAGAGAGACGGGCGGCCGCGCTTCTCGAATGCCGCCATACGAGAGCGACGAATGCAATGAGCGCGATGATGGCGATTGGTCAACTCTTTCCCGAAAGTCCGTCTCTTTTTTTTCCATCCCCTTTTTTTCTATTGCTTGCCGTCCTCTCGAGATGTCCGGAATCGCGCGACGCAAAGCGTCAACAATGCATTGCGCAATGCATCCGCGCGTATTTCTGCGACGACAAAGCTTCGATCGCGCGCGCGGTCTTCCAAACGACATTCGCATTGTCCGAGATAGAACGATGGCGAGAATAGCGTGGTTACGAATCTCGGACAAACTGTGTTAGCGAGATTTCGTAATATTTGTATTGCCGTAATATTTGTTAACCGAATTGCTGGTGTATCGCATTCTCCATCGCGCATTGTTAAATTGAAGCGTTTGGTTTTATCGGGCGTAAATATTTTTCAATCATTTTTTTATACATTGTTGATTCATAAAATGATGAATCAAGAAATGAGTGACTTTACATCCACATCGCTAATACAAAATTTTGTAAAAGCCTGCTGCATTCTTCGAGACGTTACAAGGTGTAGAGAGGTTAAAACTTAAGCGATTAATATTCCTGACAGAATACTCAGATTCCAATTCTAGAAATTGGAACGCGAATAGCTTCAATTGCGAGAAACAAATATCGTAAATAATAACGAAATATTTCTCCCCAGATATTGGCCGCAATATCTCCAGCAGCTCCAGGAATTCCGCGCGACATTATTGACACTCCATTTTCCCGCGAGAAACATATAACCGGATATCGTAGGACGTATTCAAGATTACGCTCTTATCTCGACAACAATTTCGTGAAGCTACAAAAAACTTCTAAGGTTTCTCGAATGGATAAAAAAGTATAGCGTCTTTCAACAAGAAGACATAAATATAAAATTTAATAATGCGAAAAGCTTACAGAATCGCAAAAAATCCTTCATAAAGTTGCGCAATAAATAAGTTTTTTCATGATATTCTATATCCATATTTAAAGTAGCAAATATATGTTTTGCATGCGAGCGACATTTGATATCGTACGTGACATTCTACCGCCGTGAGCATTCTCTCTTTAAAAAAAAATCTTTTAAAAATATAATTCCATTTTAAAAGAGAATCATCTCGTAATCAATCTCGACAAGCTCGACGAATGGCAGGCAAAAGGGTTAAAAAAAGATTGCGAAAGAGAGTGGAAAAATGACGGAAGACGTGCGGGAAGAGAACGAAAAATGCAGGGTGTAAACCGTGCGCGCAAAAAGTCGTCAGTCCCGCGCTCCGTTGAGCTTGCATTGGTTCGCAAAGCTTTCGGTTCGCTGGAGCGCATCAAAGCGAGCTTTTCACCTACGGACGGGTTGCCCTGCGTCTGATATGTACCATCGCAACATGTGGGCATCGTCGAGTTTACGTCCGCTATTTCTCGAACGAGTCGAAATGACACCAAAAATAGCAATACCCACTGTTATTTGCACTATCCGGAAATCCGAGTTGTCTTCCCGAATTTTCACATTCCCGTTAGATCGTAATTTCGCCCATATACAGGATGTAATAAAGTTCTTCGATAAATACGAAATACATCATAAAAGATTCGAATCTTTCTTAACGACAATTTGTCACGCGGTGCATAAAACGCAAGATAAAATATATTTTGTAGAGCAACTATAAGTTATAAATTGAAAAATGGCTAGAGATTTATCGAATAATAACTATAATGGATTTAAAAAATAAAAAAAAGGTACACAGTATGTATATCGATACTTTTTTAGTCATTTTGTAGGTGGAATTCTTTTCGCAAAGCGTGTCGTATTCAAAAAGCCCTCAAATTTTGCAATACCCGACAAAAGGACATAAAGAAATAAAAGAATTGTTCGATGAAACGAACGCCATAAAAGCGAGTCGATGATATGTAGGTATATATATTGCTGTATAGCAATTGTATCAATAACCACAGATCTTTCATCGTACTAATAAATCGCACATTTAAATCATACTTTGACAATTCACACTTTTGCAAAAAATATTTAACAATTAAATTTGTTAATAAAATTACATAAAAAATATATTCATTTATATTGACATTAAGCATCGTATTTTCCAAATTTATATTTTCCAAATTTTTCTTTCCACATATACATGTTTATATAATTTATATTTTAAAATTTTGAAAGTTTATACTTTAATCAATTGCGTAATTTCTGCAAAAGTTGAAATTCTTCACTATTAAAATAGAAAAAAAAATAACGTCGTATTTAATTACTTGATTTTAAAAACACAGACAAAGTGATTGTCAAAGTGCGATGATTAACAATTACATAATAAATGTTGATAAATAAAAAAATCAGATGATATCAAATATAATGAAGGGATTCACTCACCGGTCGTTGCATTACATCTTTAGTTGTCTACGCTTGTAGCTGCATCTGGAAAAATCAATATATATATATACATTAGTCATTAAAAATAATCGTGCATTTTATATATGTTAATTACAAAATATTAATATTTTTGTTTGGATTAAAACATAACAATATGCAGTAAATTGTGCAATTGCGTATTAACAAATTTTAATAAATATTTAATAAATATCTTCAAACACTTCTAAATATTCAATAAATACAAATTGTAATTGTGTGTGTTGTGTGTGTATGTCGCATGATATCTTTTGTTTTCCATTCATAGTCTGACGTTGTCACGTAGTTAAATAAATATAACAGGTCCATAGTATAAGAAAAGAAATAAGAGAAAAAGGAAAAATTAAAAGAAAAAAATAGGGAAATACGAATGTAATGCCTTTTCACGTTTGTTTCTCCTCATCTGTTGCCTTATTCAAGTTTCCATCTTTGTCCGAGCAGCACACGCTTTCGTTACAGAAGCCGCTGCTTGTTGAAATACCAAGAGATTAAATTCTAAAATACCAGACTTGTGCATCTCGCTTTTCTCTCTCTCTCTTTCTCGTTCTGTGTTTACTTGTCTACTCTATTTACCTGATACATTGCGTGAATTTTACCAGCAAAGTTGGAGCCAGCATTGGGAATTCAAGACTCCATTATCATACTGCAATTCTATTATTTCTAAACTCATAATTTATGCACATTAAAAATAAATAAATAAATATTAAACAAATAAATCAATAAATGGTCAAAAGAAATTTCAGTTTTTCGCAAAGTTATATAAATAATTTTTTTAATCTATTTCATAAAATTGAAAGGTTAAAAGTAGCATGAGGCTCTTATTAGTTTATTACTCAGATACTGTCTCATTTAATTCCACAAACGCACATGCATTATGATGCATTTCTATCTTTTGTAGAAAATGATATCACTTTTACGCCGTAATGGATAGTGCAGTTTAGAGAATATCGCCGGAACGTGAAAATTTGATTTCGTAGAACAAGTGGATCGAGTGGATTATTTCATTTCAGCCTTTAGAAATTAATGATTAAGGACGATCGCTTTTCTGGAAAACATTGTTTTGGAGATTCACGTTTTTTGCAACTCACACTATTTATGATTAATTGCAAGCAGTCATTTAAAAAATAATAATTAAATTAGTAATTATATCCATTTTTTTTATTTCTTATAGCAAAAGCAAAAGTTATTATATGATAAATCTTGCAGAGTTCAAGAATATTTTATATTATCTCTTGACTGCATTAAAGTGAAAAATATATATAAATTTGTCATGTATATTTTAAAGCGATAATGTTTAGTTTTTTTTCAACGTAAATTTTAACATTAAATTAGTTTTCTCTGACATATTTTGTTTTATAAAACAAGAATTGTAATTTTTATAAATAATTTATTTTAATAAAATTATTATGTGACTTGTAATTAGATTAATTTCATTTCATAATAAGATTAAATTATATTCCAGTTCTCATGCTACACATAGCGCGCGAATCTCTGTGAAACTGCTATCACGAAAATTGCACGTATCCTCAAATTATCTTAGTTTGAATATTTCAAACTTTACCCCGGTATTGTGCAATACGCTGGTAAACTCTTAATGCGCGAAGTAAGTTACTCCGAAAAGCTATGTCGAAGAAGGTATTCGACGTTGCTTTTAGGTATACAAATAGTTAAATTTCTTTCTCGAGTAGTGCTTCGCAAAGTTCGCTTAATCAAACTTTAAAAACGTATTGTCTGACTGAAATTGGAAATTGGTTCAAAGAATCGATTGAAAGTTGTGTTGGACCATTGGCCACATTCTTCGAAAGTTTTCGGGGTTTGCAGCGTTCCAAGAAGTATCCTGATAATAAAGTTCCACATTAGGAGTTCATGAAAATAAAATCCTTAAAATTGTAAGGATTCCAAAAGAAAATTCGTAAATGTAAAATAATTCCAAACAATTCAAAGTTGCCACAAAGTTGCGATAAACTTGCCTATTCGCAAATTATTAATCGCAGACGCAAAAGGAAGTTTGCGGCGATGACGTTAACAATTATCGCACGTAGGAAGTACAATGCGGCGTAGTTACTTAGAAACATCTGGCGTGTTTTGTCAGACGCGTATGTAAATGGACATGATTATACATTATTATCTCAACAATCATTTATGTGCCATCGCGACAGCTTCATTTTTACTGTGAACGTTGACGGCTTACATTATCTCACACATTAATGATTCATGAATCAACAATGCATAATGATAAATGGGTTAATATTCAAAATTTTCCTTTCTTTTCATTTTTAAATCGTAATCATTTATCAGTAATTATGTTTTCTCTTTTAACATTTATAAGCCGGATATTAAAAATTATTTTTGTATTAATACTAAAACTTATTAATGTAACGTTTATGGTTTTAATTAATTTTGTTTTTCAATTTTACGTTATATTGAGATAACAAATACAAATTTAATTGTTTTATAAAATTAAAACCTGCGGCATTTCTAAATTACCCACGAGAAAATCGACCACTGTCTACATGATTAACTGAATAATCAATATGTTTGGCAAGTAGCCTTAAATATTGAGAATTTAAATTGTACAAGTTCCGCAGTAGCTGGCAACAAGACAGCGTGTCTCGGAATAATTTACGTCACTACGACATAATGGATGCAACAAAGCGTTCCTCACGCGAATTACGGTGGCACACTGCCAATAAGGTCGAAGTTATAAATTATCACTTTTTCCCGGCAAAAACTACATAGTCGATTCGTGCCGAAGCGCTTCGATATTCCTCGCGCGTCCTAAAGCATTTCTTTCGCAATTCTCACCGTGGTATCGCCATTGAGAACATTCGAAGTAATTACAACCGAGTCATCGGAGAAAATTATGGGGAAAAATACATTTGCTCTCCGGAAACTTTCCAAGTGCCACTTCCCGTAAGACTTTCAGAAAATTGTCTCGAGAAGTGGTCGGAAAAATATAACTCTTGACAATTTTTAAAACAATCCCTGAGTATTTATCTCCATGCGGGAGTGTTCGCCAAATGTAAGAGTGCACAGAAATGACATCCGCAGCATCGAATAAAAGAACTGCGTTCTCCAAACACGAGGCTCAAGAGCTCAACAGCACACCTACACGCAGTCGTATGTCTCGATACAAAACACACATCGTTGCAGAGATGACGCAGGCCAGACTGGTCGAAAGATCCGACGGATACCCCACTTTCTACGATCCAGAAGATCATTGTGGATCAAATGCGAGATCAGGCACGTGCAAACCGGGCGTGCGTCACAAAAGGGCACCAAACACGAAAGCCGAATAATAAATATTGCAAAGAGAACACGAGTCCGCTTAAAAATGAACTCAATCGTTCACCATATTTAATCGGAAATGTCCACATACATTTTTTCAAGATCATCCATGCACGTAAAGAATAAATTCTTTAAAAATAAATATATTTAATATTAAGCCATTAATTATGATGTCCGAAAAAAAATAACAGTGTGTCAAAAAGTCACTTAACACAACAGTTATTTTATTAAAACTATTTTCTCAAACTATTTTCATTAAGCTACGTGAAATGTTGCGAAACTTATCACTGACAAATTTTAAATATTTATTGTGAGTACCAAAATGGAAGTACTGTTTTGCATATAATCATTCTGCCATAGTTTAAACGTACCGAAACAGACAGTAGAACTCCATTGCAGATGCTGCATTTCCATGCGCTCTCTTTCTCTCTGTCTCTCCTATCCGTCATTATTACGCAACTCGAGATTGCAGCGGAGCGGGCGGGTACGTTATATGACTCGAGTATCGGCCCGAAAGGTGGTGGCTACGACGGTGGAGAAGGTGGTGGGAACAGCACGCGGTCGGTCCAAACTCCGCGAGAGCTGCATGTAGTCGACGGTCGGAACGGAAAGCAGCACGGACGAGCGGGCGAGTCCGTCTCCGGGATCCAAAGCGGGAGTGTGCGCACCGGAAGCGGAGCGCGGGAATCGTCGAGTACGAAGTGTTCGTTTGATTTTTAATTTCCTTTGCTATATTTTTTTTTTCTTTCTTTAAATCTGACTCGCGAGCATAAGTGACCTATTCATTAATCTTTTGCTAGCTCTGATTAGATATCGCGTGCGCTTATTAAGTGTGTTGATACTATCAACTATCAAAAGTAGGTACTTGAAACGTTCATCATAAATGCCGGAGAAGAAAAGACGGTTTTAGATGAGAGATTGATGAGTGCGTACGAATCGTTGATAGATTGCGGCGATAAGTCAACGCGAATTGGAAACGCATTTATTGAAAGCATCAACGTCTCATAGGTAAGAGTTTTTTACGTATGAAACAAAAAACTCGCGAAAAAAACATTTCCATAATGAATGAAATTGAAATAATGATTCTTGATAATCTGACTCTTTGGATGCTCCATCACGCAAATACAAAAACCGGTTTCCACAAAAGAATGTAACAGGTTTTCATGGCTCAAACATAAAAATGCAAATCTTAGGCATACCGGATACGAGACTTTCTTCGAGAAAACAGTTACACAAACTCTACTAAAAAATTTAAAAAGTAACTAAAGAAGACAATAAATATCTATAATTACAGTAGATTATTCGGAAATTCTTGAAACAATTTGATTAATATTGTTTACATCTTAAGAATTTTTAAACAAATGTTCATGTATCCTAACGTATGCATTGCAAACTAATACAAATAATTAGAATAATAAATAATTATTTCAATATTGACTATTGTAGATACAACTCTATTGTATGCAGATACTTTGAAACTTATTTTGAAGGATGCGAATCTGATCTTTTCTTCATTTCTTACTTTTTATACGAATAAAAAATAAAAAACCAAGTTTTACGTCATTACAACCACTCGTCAAAAGTCATGAATAACATAAATAGGGATTAAGTAACATAAAATATTCATAAAGCCGTTTAAGAAATTTCTTTATCATGTAAATTATCGAATGCTAAATCAAATAATCTCGACGCATATAATTCGCGCTTCAGAAGTTTAACGT